ATAAATAGTTATATAGATAAAGTAGTTATAGTATGGAAGGGTGGGGGGCGTCACCGAAACTTTTGCCCTGGGGCGCTACATAGGCTTGTTGGAGCCCTGAATATAGGCCTAGTTAAAGTTATTTATATCCTGCAATGTATTCATATCTTGTAACTTCGAGCCATCTAAACTGGGCCGCACATTTTCTACAACCGGCCCTGATTAGCGATCAAATGAGAATGCATCTTGCCAGCTTGTAATTGTGCACACAAAGAGAAAAAGATAACCTGTTGATGTTTAGGCTATCTATTTTTCAACATCATATTCATGCAGTGAAGAAAAAATGTCCCAGTTTAAGGACGTATGTAAATTCTGCATAAGGTATATATAGGGCTCAATACTAAAGCAGGGTGGGCATTTGATCTTCTAATGTTAATATATATTACTATCAGGATACCCGGCTTCGCTCGGAGTCATAACTCCGAAACCGAAAGTGGTAGACTAACGCCACCTGGCCTATGTTACTCCCCGGTCCGAGCTACCCCTATACCCCAAATTTCGGACTCGGGGCAGACCTAGTGTAGCCGCCAACCCCGAACAGACCGGCTTCGCTCGGGGGTCAAAACTCCGAAACCGGAAGTGGTAGACTAACGCCACCTGGCCTATGTTACTCCCCGGTCCGAGCTATCCCTATACCCCAAATTTCAGACTCGGGGCAGATGTAGCCGCCAACCCCGAACAGACAGACTTCGCTCGCGAGGGGTCATAACTCCGAAACCGGAAGTGGTAGACTAACGCCACCTGGCCTATGTTACTCCCTGGTCCGAGCTACCCCTATACCCCAAATTTCAGACGCGGGACAGACCTAGTGTAGCAGCCAACCCCGAACAGACCGGCTTCGCTCGGGGGTCATAACCCCGAAACCGGAAGTGGTAGACTAACGCCACCTGGCCTATGTTACTCCCCGGTCCGAGCTACCCCTATACCCGAAATTTCAGACTCGGGGCAGATGTAGCCGCCAACCCCGAACAGACAGACTTCGATCGGGGGTTATAACTACCAAACCGGAAGTGGTAGACTAACGCCACCTAGCCTATGTTACTCCCTGGTCCGAGCTACCCCTATACCCCAAATTTCAGACGCGGGACAGACCTAGTGTAGCAGCCAACCCCGAACAGACCGGCTTCGCTCGGGGGTCTTAACTCCGAAACCCGAAGTGGTAGACTAACGCCACCTGGTCTATGTTACTACCCGGTCCGAGCTACCCCTATACCCCAAATTTCAGACTCGGGGCAGACCTAGTGTAGCCGCCAACCTCGAACAGACAGACAGACAGACAGACAGACAAACGACAGTCACAAATATATATATGTTACAGTCAATGTCTACAATCAGGCAATGTGTACAATGCCTGAAATAACCAGTCAATGTGTACATTGCCTAATGAGGCCAGTCATTGTGTACATTGCCTAAAATTTCCAGGCATTGTGTACATTGCCTGATTAATTAGCCCAATTATTGTACACATTGACTGATTGTTGAAGAGCGGTTATTGAGAAGACTAGATTTGGGCCTTCGCTTGCTTCCCCTAAACCTGTGTAAACCAGTTCATATTTTAGCAAATAGATAAGGTAGAATTATGATTTTTCCAAGATATTTTATAGGTCTTTTCAATCAAATGGAGAGTTGAAGGGGAAATAAACATAAAAAATTTACATATAAGTTGATTTGATAAATAGTTATATAGATAAAGTAGTTATAGTATGGAAGGGTGGGGGGCGTCACCGAAACTTTTGCCCTGGGGCGCTACATAGGCTTGTTGGAGCCCTGAATATAGGCCTAGTTAAAGTTATTTATATCCTGCAATGTATTCATATCTTGTAACTTCGAGCCATCTAAACTGGGCCGCACATTTTCTACAACCGGCCCTGATTAGCGATCAAATGAGAATGCATCTTGCCAGCTTGTAATTGTGCACACAAAGAGAAAAAGATAACCTGTTGATGTTTAGGCTATCTATTTTTCAACATCATATTCATGCAGTGAAGAAAAAATGTCCCAGTTTAAGGACGTATGTAAATTCTGCATAAGGTATATATAGGGCTCAATACTAAAGCAGGGTGGGCACTTGATCTTCTAATGTTAATATATATTACTATCAGGATATCCGGCTTCGCTCGGAGTCATAACTCCGAAACCGAAAGTGGTAGACTAACGCCACCTGGCCTATGTTACTCCCCGGTCCGAGCTACCCCTATACCCCAAATTTCGGACTCGGGGCAGACCTAGTGTAGCCGCCAACCCCGAACAGACCGGCTTCGCTCGGGGGTCATAACTCCGAAACCGGAAGTGGTAGACTAACGCCACCTGGCCTATGTTACTCCTCGGTCCGAGCTATCCCTATATCCCAAATTTCAGACTCGGGGCAGACCTAGTGTAGCCGCCAACCCCGAACAGACAGACTTCTCGAGGGGTCATAACTCCGAAACCGGAAGTGGTAGACTAACGCCACCTAGCCTATTTTACTCCCCGGTCCGTGCTACCCCTATACCCCAAATTTCGGACTCGGGGCAGACCTAGTGTAGCCGCCAACCCCGAACAGACCGGCTTCGCTCGGGGGTCAAAACTCCGAAACCGGAAGTGGTAGACTAACGCCACCTGGCCTATGTTACTCCCCGGTCCGAGCTATCCCTATACCCCAAATTTCAGACTCGGGGTAGATGTAGCCGCCAACCCCGAACAGACAGACTTCGCTCGCGAGGGGTCATAACTCCGAAACCGGAAGTGGTAGACTAACGCCACCTGGCCTATGCTACTCCTCGGTCCGAGCTACCCCTATATCCCAAATTTCAGACTCGGGGCAGACCTAGTAGGCTGGTTGGAGAAGGTGACAAATCCAGCTTTGTGGGAAGAAATTCCTACCCAAATGATTTCTTCATTTTCTGAAACAACTATGTCCCTAGTGTTCCAGAAAAATTTTCCCCGCCGACCGGAGTTGAGCAAATTTTTTTACAGCATTTTGAAATTTTGACCCCCTGGGTCAACATAATGAAACTGAAAACCATTTATAACTTCAAAAATATCAATTTTACAGCCTAGAAATGTATTATCAACATATAGGAAAGTGATACCAAGGATTCCAGAAATGATGTAAAAAGTAATGTACGACGTCACCGTGACGTCAGAATACAAAATGGCGGAACTGTGACGTCACTGTGATGTCAAAATTCAAAATGGCGGATACGTGTTGTGAATAAAGAGTTATTGTGTCCCAAACTTTCCACCGTACATTTGATCGGACAGACTGGCGGGTGAAAAGAAAGGTGGGGATCAAAAACATTATTATATGTCAAAGGGTATTCTCTTTATATAGTACCAAGACTGAATATACGCTAGAGAAGATAGGCAGTTTATACACCAACCAAGATAACTTAGTAGATAAACAAAAGGCTTTAGGCCTATATTGAGGCCTTTCCCATAACAAACAAACATGCAGGGCCTACACCATACATAAACCGGCTGGTTATGTGTCATAGCACAGACCTGTCACCTTCTGCATGCACATTGTCATGTATTGGGCACTGCATTCAATTATTTATCAGCCATGCATAGACCACGTTCTACTTTTCTAGGACTAAGCCAGGACCCAAGCAGTCTATTGATTCTCACTATAAATAAATAGGGTCTTAAAAAATACTTATTTTGCATTTTCCAAGGCCAGTTGTACTAACTTCCTCCCCCGATTTGTCGAAAACATAATGTAATTTATGTATATTCAAAGAAAACTAAACATATTCTAATAATAAATTGAAACAACGGGGGCTGCCATCTTTGTTTCAAGCAATCTGATTGGACAATTGAGTTACTAGGTTTTACTGTGGCATACTAGGGAAATGAAGGAAGTTGCTAGGTTGTGCCATGGGTGTAACTGCTTACAAAATGAAAAGATTGGAATATCTAGTACAACAACAGGAAGCACACACATTAGTAACTACAAATTTGGTCCTAACTCAATTTTGATAAAAAAAAAAAAGTGAGTTACTAGGTTTTGCCTAGTGGACACATTTGCGCGCACTTTTAAGAACCCTGACAGTTTGAATTAAATATAAGAGTAGGCCTGTGGGCGGCTGTCCGGGAATTTTTTTCTTCATAGAACACTGTATGGCGTTTGAATTTCGATAGGGTCCCCCCTGCCCCCCGACTAGTTTTTTGTTTGTTTTAATCTTAATCTGTGCCTGTATATAGGCATATTGATTCGTATTATGTTTCTTTCTGAATGTTGAAATTTAAATAAAATAAAATTAAATTATATAACATAAGTTAAAACAATATTTCAATATATAATCTTGTTATGATATATAACCAATAATGGATACAGTTTTGATAAAATAATAAAATACGGATTCGTTGATCAAGAAGGACAATACAATATATAAAAGAATTAACAATAGTGAAATATAATATAATTTAGTTTAAATAAATAATAGTTTCGTTCAAGATACCCGGACACGAACTTTTACACAAGAGGGACATTTCTCTGTTTAACTGTTTAACTAGATATATTTACTTTAGTGAAATATAATATAATTCAAATTTAAATAACAGTTACGTGAATCTCTCCTATACATATCAAACCTGTCCTGACATAAAATATTACACAATGAAACAGAACACCAAGTATATTATCTGGAGGGCTTAAAAGTCCAAATTTCAAGTAAATTAAGTTAATCCCCTATGTGTCTATTCCTCGAAATATGTTAAAGGGCCAATCCCAATAATATGTAGGAGAATAAAACTGCTTAATTTTGTGTTAAAATCCCTTAAAATCCTCCACCAAAGGGCCGAGCAACTAACTCAATATTTGTGATACGTTTTCAGACAATTTAACCTGTCAGTCTTCATCTGGAAATGGAGACCGGTGTCCCAAACTCTATTATATGGCTTATGGATAAACCAGACCTTTACTTTATAAAAATACTGTGTAGGTGAAATTTACCTTCGGTTATCAAGTACAGCACATGGGTCATTCATTGTATAGACCTCTAAAGGAATGGGAATCGATTATCAGGTCACCCAACGAAAAAATGACCAGAAATCTTAAAAGGGTTACGTGTCCGGATAAGCATTTGTGAAGTTCACGTCCAAACTACTAAATATTGTGAGCTGAATGATTGAGACAAGGTAAACACACCATTCCTCTATATTTTGGAGCTTAAATTTCAATCGTACTCAGACTTTTATTTTTGAGACGATCTGTTCAAATCGGAAAAGTCCCTTTAATATTTAAAGTAACATTTACTGATCTAAATATTTTCAAAAGCGAAATTCTATTATGACTTTCTGAATTATTAATCCATGTATACTTGGATCATTCACAATCTATGGCCCTCCATCTTGCACCCAACCAACCAAACATATATAAAGATAATAATAATCCATTTCGACAACCTGAATCACTTCCTACTACACTAATTTATAGAAATCTTGGTTCCAATATAATTTGAGTAAATGATGTTTAAAGTTATCAAGACGATAAAGTCGGTATTTAGATCACTTGGCTTGACCATAATCAACGCTCGATGTCATCGCTAGCCTGCGATATTTACTGGATTAGAACCCGGTCTGCTGCTTCTGATTAATTCAAGTTGACTGAAATTTCAGCAAATTTCCTTTACATTATCTAGTTCTTAACTATTATAGTAAGAACTAACAGCACTTTATCTAATAAATGTGCATATATTAATGCATCTATAGTAAAAGTGCCATTTAAAATTGTAATCCTGTTTATATATATATATATGACAAGGAAAGCTGTCTAGTCGTTCGGATGGGACGAAAAACCGAGGTCCCGTGTACACATTGGCGTGCACGTAAAAGATCCCTTGGCAGTTGGAATTCGATATAAGAGTAGGCCGTAGTGCCGCTGTCCGGGCAAAATTTCCCTCATAGCACACTGTATGGCGTATGCCCGTCTTCATTAGCCCAGGTTAGGAGCAGAACAGTAAGACGTTAAACCCCATTTCATTTCATTTCATTTTATATATATATATATCTAACATATTCTTATTTTTCAACATTTAAGTCTTCATTATCCTAGCAACGTTACTTGTTAATCGAGACCCAGTCTTGCTACCCCATTTTTGAATTATATCATTAAATGGCAATCGTATTTTAATCCATTTGTTCATCTGCGCCACCCGGTGAGCTAGAGAGTTGATTATAGGCTTTTCATGTAAATAAATGTCTGAATAGTAATTATATAACATTTAAAGCCAAAATGAAAACCTATAATGGGGAGAATTAGGTCTTACGTAATGCATCTTTAATATTTACTGGGGAAACCCGATACGTAATTGTAACGCGTGACTTATTAATATACCATCGGTTATCTAAACACTTATGTATTTCATATTTCATGGAAGCTAGGCGTGTCAAGCTTTCTCCGTACCGCCAGGCTTTTTATTCAAAGTGGTTGGAAATATTCCAAGTGTTACCTTTATTATATCTTCAAGTCAAGTTTTTGGAATACACGGTATTATTTTAGGCCCGTGGCCCTACTTTGGATACAATCATCTTTAATTTTAAGAAATTGAATTCTTTATTTATTTATTGAAATACACTGTACATTTATATATACGTAACTACAATATAAGCAGTATTACACACTAAAAGGACACACACTAAACAGTAATTATCACGCCGCACTAACGCCCCCCCCCCCCCACACACACACACACACACACACACCAACCACCCCTTATTAATCACAGAGAATAGGCAAAAACAAAAACAAAAATCTCACTTCGTTATACCCAACAAAATATCTGTTTTCCTTATTATTATTGTGTTGTCCTCTATACGAAAGTATACGTTATTATAGAGACAAATACCCAAAACGTACTGTTAGTTGAAAGTCTACCCAACAAAATATCTGTTTTCCTTATTATTATTTTGTTGTCCTCTATACGAAAGTATACATTATTATAGAGACAAATACCCAAAACGTACTGTTAGTTGAAAGTCTACAGTGTAGGTCCTAATTGGAACCTACGGTTTAAACTTTTTCAAGTAATTGAATTCTCACTTTATTAGAATTTACGACAATGCTCTAGATTTGTGGACCTCATTGATAGAATTCTTTGTTGTAATTTGCCGGGACTGTACTTGGTGGGTACTCGGACATTGATTTGTTCAAGCAAGCGTTGTTGCGAATTCTCCCGTATATACAAGGTATCAATGTTCAAACACTCTTATATTGCAATAACTCATGAGGGTTGGTTATCCTGAAAATGTTGCTTTTTCCCTAGTTTGACTTGGGTTAGTTTACTGAACTAAACACATACGTGATATACATTGCTTAAGGGGGAGGGTGGGGGTGAGAAATGAAATTGGGTTTATTTAACGTACTGCTCCGCTCCGACTGGGCTAATGAAAACGGACATACTCCATATAATTTGCCATCGTCTCGTATATAAATGTGTCTTTCTAGATCCGCAACGTTTGGCCATGGTTATACGTGATAACTAAGGGAGAGGGGTTTTACATAGCCTAAGCCTATTCCCCAATCCCATTCAGACAACCTGAATAAAAATATTGTTTAAAAAAAACAAATTTTTTTTTAAACCCAAACGACTCAATTTGTATAACTCTTCAATTTAAAAGATTACGTTTGGTATGGAATTGTTATGTTTTCCAGCTCACCCAACGAAAGCTTTGACCCAAAATCTTAAAAATGTTACGTAAACCGGTTACGTAAACCGACTCAATATTATGAGTTGAAATTTTCAGACAAGCTTAACACAATCTGATTAAAAAACAGATCCTATTTCTTTTGAGTTTTTTATAGTTCAAAATTTCGTTTTAATTGTCTTTACTATACTAGAATCTGGAAGAGTTGTTTTTATGTGACCCGCGTTCGGGTTGATATGAGGGTCATATCGGGGGTCATAACTACCAAACCGGAAGTGGTAGACTAACGCCACCTGGCCTATGTTACTTCCTGGTCCGAGCTACCCCTATACCCCAAATTTCAGACGCGGGACAGACCTAGTGTAGCAGCCAACCCCGAACAGACCGGCTTCGCTCGGGGGTCATAACTCCGAAACCCGAAGTGGTAGACTAACGCAGATGTGATCACAGAACGAAACCTGTGGTAATCTAGTCTTCTCAATAACCGCTCTTCAACAATCAGTCAATGTGTACAATAATTGGGCTAATTAATCAGGCAATGTACACAATGCCTGGAAATTTTAGGCAATGTACACAATGACTGGCCTCATTAGGCAATGTACACATTGCCTGATTGTAGACATTGATTGTAACATATATAGCGTTGAAAAATTTGTATTCAGATTTTATGCAGGCAAAAGCGGTAACCCCAAAAGTATGAGAGCTTTTGCCCCTGTCATTATTTAGGACTGGATTGGATAATCGCTGCGTGATGAGACCTGCTCTACGAGGGTGGAGCAGTTGGGTGAAATGTTTTTTTCTTTCCTATTTTATGTTTTTGCTTGACACAAGTTAGATATCGACCAATAACTGGATTTAAACGAAGGATTTATTGGTGACAGCTCTACAGAGTGTGTTGTATCCGCTCTCCTTTTAATAGACTGAAATTCAAATGACGTTGTCTAAATTTAAAGTAAAGAACAAATCAGCATGGCGGTTGTTGTTTATTCTGGCGACAGCAAGCATTATTATTGGTTTTATCTTAGATATGGTAAGTACATTATTAGAATTTGGATTATTTTAATGATCGAGCAGAATTTTATATTTCAAAAACTAAATTTTCATTTGATTTAAAACCTTAATTCACATAATAATTAATCATTTTAATACGCCCACTTAATTTCACATAATACCTATTCATTTTAATACGCCCAGATATTTTAACCGTTAGGGTAACAGTAACCACTTTTGTTTCCAATTTAGGGCATATTTAATGAAACAAGTAAATTTACAGTCAGCAGAAACCATTCCATTGGCACCACAAGATCAAAACCAAATAATCTAATTATAAAGGTGGTATTTACGTAACAAATATACTGGACAATGATACTACCATAAAACTGTAAAACTTTTTATGTAACTTTAGGGAGTCGGGGTGGCGCAGTGGGTAAGGCACTGGCTCGCTAACCAGGAGGTCTCGCATTAGCTCAGGAACCCGGTGTTGGCCGAGAACGTTGCTCGGAATTTTTCGGCGCGGTTTCCTCTTGTCAATGGTGCAGGGCATAGAGCTTAAGAAGGACAGTATCTAGTCGTTCGGATGGGACAAAAAACGAAAATAACCCTTGACAGTTGGAATTCAAAATGAGAGCAGGCCGTAGCGACACTGTACGGACAAAATTTCTCTCATCGCACACTGCATGGCGTATGCCCGTCTTCATAGCCCCGTCGGAGCAGAAAAGTAGGACTTTAAAGCACATTTCATTTCATTTCTTATGTAACTTATAGCCTAGCAGATAATAATAGTGTTGATATAATCATTACAACAATTTGGCCATTTCAATTTTTCTATTAAAGGACAATATTGGTGCCAGCCAATATTACATATGTAATAGACCTGGTTTAAACACGCATTCCAAATATATAATTTGCTACGGTTAATCTGAAACGAAGATTTGAAGAATCAGGACGTGACGCAAAACTGTAAAACACGAGTTATCCTTACTATTGAAGTAGAGAGTGATAACAGATACGCAGTCAATTTTCATCTCACTGATAATTGCGTTGAAGTCTAAAAGTTGTCAGATTTGCGCAAAAATGGAATTTCGCAAACCAGACTATCTGTATTCATCAACAATTATATTTATATACAAAACTAAAACAAAAACTGGTTATGCATGTTAACTCCTGACATGGGAAGTGATATGAGGTATTTCTCTGAAATACCGCACCCACGAAAACGAAAATTACAAAGGGGCTTAATATGTGCAAATCAGGTCTGAAATACAATCTGGATAGCTTACAATAAAGATCGCGTACATATAGTCAAACAGAGGATTGCTATGTCCATTCTAGGTGGCGTAGACTGTAGAATTATAATTAACATGACTTTGTGATAATATACCGTTATGAATGGATTATATGTAACAATATTATGGCCTCGACCTAATATTGGTTCTAAAATCATAAACAAGTTAGACGTCACGTAATCCAACGGAAATAGACGAAACTTTGATATCTTAAAATAACCTATAGGGGGGAATTTATCTTTTTGGTTGTCCTAAACACATTATATCTGTTTTCAACTGATTTTGTGATTGCACTTTAAACGAAATTTACCGGATATTCTCTCAAGCCTACTGTCCATATTTGGCTATTCCCTACGTCATTGGACTTGATTGACCAATCTTCCAATTCATAGGAGAAATCGGGGAAGATAAACGGCCAAAATTAAGTTTAGAAAATCAGATGCCATTGGGATTCGGAGAAGACCATGGCATAGTGTTTCCAGAAGTCTAGCTACACTGGCTAGACTTTGCAGGCGTAAGTTGAGAGAATGAAAGACCTGTTATTATTAAGTATTATGTAGACTATTGCTTGGATATAAAAACGTATATAAGAACCACTTGTTGTTCCTGATAAACATACGATTTGGCTGCTGTAATTAAGTACACAACGTGAAATCTAAGAGTAGAGACCTCGAAAAGTATCCACGCCAGTAAACCATAGACGACCAGACTGCTAGGTTCGTTATTATAGTCTTGAAGTACTTAGTCAAGATTTGAATTTTGTATTATGTTGGTTTTTTTGTCTATATATACAGTTGAGTTTTAAGACTTTGTGTATAGGTCTTAATTATGATGTTAGCCAAGTTAAGGCTAAAATGAGTTATTTAATCTTTGAGTATACGGTTAAAGTTCTGGAAAACGAAGTGCCAGTATATGTGTATATGTGGCGTGGATGCGTGTAGGTGTATTTAGGGGACATTTTCTCACAGAGGAATTGAAATAAATGACGCGATAAATTTGCGAGATTATCCGTGTAGTCATTATATTAGAGTTTAAAATGACAAATAAGGTATACGGTAGTTAAATTCCATATATGATAGACGTGTATATATTATGTTATGTGTCATTAAATTTTGTATTCAAAACGTCTATAACGTTATAATAATATATTTTAATTCCCTGCTCTCTAAATGATTCTATTTGTTGAATAAACACATGAGTAGGGTCACGTCCAAGTATTTGACCTTTGTTGGAGTTGTTTGCAAGTCACGCGATGAGTTGATAGAAAAGGAATTTATTAATGATTAAAACTATGTGTCTGTTATCGCTCTCTACTTCAATAGTAAGGATAACCCCTTGTTTTGCGTCACTTCCTGATTTTTCAATTCTTTGTTACGGATACTAAGCAGCAAAAGAAACGTCAGGTTGGTATGTTACTCTGAATAGACGCATTGCATGAAACTTGCCAATGTTTTTATTGTATATTTGTGATCACACCTTCCCAAACACAGAATTGAACCCAGGAAATGTCATCAAAAACGCAACCTGACTTCTGAGATTGTAATGTGTTCTCATGCTGCACGTGCTGTTCACCGGGACCAGCCCTATAAAATGCACCCCCATACCTGGTTGAATCATTCACACTACAACGTCAGTAGCATGTCACGACTCACGACAGCTCAGAGGAACCAGGCGCCGTTGCCAATTACTTCCAGGTCAATGTTCGGACCATCTATAGGCTTCAGCAACGCTTTCGGGCCACCAACACCGCGGATGATCGCCCCCGAACTGGTAGACCAAGAGTTACCACAAGGCGACAAGACCGCCATGTTGTGCGAAAACACGTGCAGAATCCCTTCACACAGGCATCTGAGACAGCACGTCAGACAGTGGGAACAAACGGAAGACCCATCAGTACCGATACAGTGTGCCGACGTCTCACCAGAGAGAACATCCATTGCCGTAGACCTTACTGTGAACCGATCCTCAACCCTCTCCATCGACGTGAACGTTTACAGTTTGCCCAACAACACCAGAACTGGCAGGACCAGAATATGGCGTGGACGCGGCCAGCATTATTCTGACCAATGTGTCATGGAATGAGACTGATAGGGAGGTCCGATCATAATGGTTTGGGGTGGAATCGGCCTGAACCAGAGAGTGGGTCCTGTGGTGTTCCAAAATCTTGGTCCAGGGAGAGGGGGCGACATCACAGCAGTGCGCTACATCGATCAAGCTCTCAGACCCCACGTCATACCTCATTTCGCACGTTATGGAAACAACGTTTTCCAGCATGACAACGCCCGTGCCCACACCTCCAGAGTTACTCGGGACTACCTACAGCAGAATGGTGTCAACGTTATGTACTTGCCAGCCCTTAAACCCGATTGAACATCTTTGGGATGAAATACAGATGAGACTTAATAACGTCGTACCGAGACCAAAACCGACATAATACCGTATAATACCGACATCCAAACTCCCATTTTAACCACAACTAAACATAATATCAAGGCCGTATATACTGAACTTTCAATCAAACTGACTGACAAGTGGCCTCGCTCAACAGCGGACTCGCTTCGTACACTCTAACATTTAGCCTCGATCTAAAATTTCCGTCAACGTATGACGTCAACGTAACGGTTAATCGCCGCTTACGACGCCTTTTAAAAATTTAATCAATCAATGAAATCCTGTTTAAATCCAAGCCGAATCGAAGCCATCCGTGGGTCTACAGAGTTGGTTTTTGAGCTTGTGTAAATAAAGATCTAATCTATAATTTCTTTGACATCTGAAGCCTAAATAAAGACTTGCAATAATCGTATTTAGCTCTTGCATAATGTATGTTTAATCACTAATGTGTCAACATACTGTTCACAAAAAATTGCTTTGATCCATTTAGTAAGTCGTTTCATAGAATGATTTGATTAAAGTGCCTCTCTGATTTTGAAATCGTACTGACGTTGTTTTGTTTTTTTTGCTGATTAGTATATGACAACTGTGTCGATAAGGAAAGTGAAACACGGGATCTTTCTGAACAGTAAATTATGTAAAGTAGCAATACTAATGAAAAGCAATTAGCCGTAATTTTTTTTTTTTTTTTTTTTTTTTTTTTTTTTTTTTGCTGTTTAGTATATTTGAAATGTGTTTAACCAGTTTTATCACCAACATCGTCCTTTAAGATTTATAACGCGGTTAGTACTGAAACTTCATACCTGTCCATCCAACTTTGTTCTATTTTAGAAGACAGTTATTGCAGAAAAAAATGAAAGTAATTTTACAGTCGCCAGAAATTACTCCCTTGTGACGAAAACAATTTCAAAACAGAAGACAGAACAGTTACCAATTAGAAAGGTGATATATCTGCCAGTACACACACACACCACAACACACACACACACACAACTCGAATGATAAATATGAATTTATTCGATAAAACAACAATATACTAATCAACATACAGGGCGGTTATTAGTTATGTTTATGGTTTAATGACGAAATTGCCAAGGAACCGATGGCACTGTTTTCCATCAAAAAACAAATACATTTTAAGAGTTCATTAAGCATGTCAAGGTGGCTCTTGTGGTTAAACGTCACATTGTTTACCTACATGACACCTGTATCCTAATGCTTCAGTAGTGTGTAGGCTCATAATGTCTGAGTGGCGGCTTCCAGCCTGTGCCTCACCCCTCCTTTGAAACGTCGGGCAACCGTTGCCACTCTCAGTACAATGCTGATTCTACCTCTTGCAAATTTTGTACATTGCCTGTACATAATATTTGCTCCATTGGATTTAAATCTAGTCTCATGCCTAGCCACGATACAGTAGTCACAACATTTTGTAAGGCAGGCCAGTATTGCCTTGTCGTCCATATAAACAGGCCTTATAGCAAGTGCGTGGTTGTCAAAATGTGGTATGACAACAGATTCCATGACAATGTGAATGTAGTGGTCAACTGTAAGACGTAAGAGTATAGTATTTTAACCATATACAGCTTGCAATCGTGCTAGACATATGCCCACACTATCACCGAGCCTCTACCGTAAGGAGCGGTTAGGCTGATCTTCCTGTGTGTATAAGCCGCCAGTCTGTGCATCCACCCACTAATTCGTCCATCCGTGACCTAGAGCAAAAACTTGCTTTCATCCTAACCGTAAGGAGCGGTTAGGCTGATCTTCCTGTGTGTATAAGCCGCCAGTCTGTGCATCCATCCACTAATTCGTCCATCCGTGACCTAGAGCAAAAACTTGCTTTCATCCTACTAATGGATGCCTAGTTACGACCGCAGATTTCAGTCCTATCTTGCTAAATACCATGCCAGACGTATTCCCTGGTGGAGATTTTGATGACCCTTCTAATGACGCGTACAAGATATGTTGCTGTTGGTTACATAGCTAAGAATTTGTTTATTTGTGATATGGTTGTCTTCATTTGGTAATTCGATAAATATAATCTAATACACAATTTAACACCACCAACAAAGGTAGGCCGGTAGACTTATAGTTTATGTTTCAGAGTCGTTACCATTTTCTGTCAAACAGATAAATGAACCGTCCTACACGGAACATCGCAAGGAATATGTATATTTCTAACGACCATTTTGCATAATGCAATGTAATAATATAAACATTCCAAATAAACATTCAATTTCTATGAAGTTACTCGCCTGCAGCAACATCTACAGGGTTGTAGATATTTGGGAAAATCGTTTTCTTGACAAAGGATTTATTTATCGATTTATACTCATAACTATGTTAGGAATGGATTTGGTTTTGAAACCCAATACCTTCAAGTCTATACCACGTTTTGCACTTTTTGAGTTATGTGTGCAATATTCTATTCAATCAGTAAGGACGGTATGAAATTTGTCCTTTAACTGCTATAATAACCTCTCTCGGCCTATTTTATTTACTGGATCATTACAGCAATTGATGAGAAATAATGTTTATTTATTTTAAACTAATTAACAGTTTAACACGTACTCTTCATCTTCATCGGGGATAAATTCTAACTGATCAGTTAATCCAAGAACAGCTATGTAAACAATTTTGTCATTTCAGTTTTTCTATTAAGACCGGAAACTTGCGGAGCATTGACACATCAAGGTGGGCAAATCAAAAATGTTATACGCTCAAATTTGTTTTTTTTTTCAGAGCATAGATTTTGCAGAAAAATATAAGAGTAACTTTACAGTCTCCACTGGAACAACAATTTCAAAACCGAATAATGAACCGTTACCAATTAGAAAGGTGATATACTACCCCCCCCCCCCCCACACACACACACACACAACTCGAATAATACATATGCATTTATTCGATAAAACAACAATATACTAATCAACATAAAGGACGGTTATTAGTTACGTTTATGTTTTAATGACGAAATTGCCAAGGAACCGATGGCACTGCTTTCCATCAAAAAACAAATACATTTTAAGAGTTCATTAAGCATGTCAAGGTGGCTCTTGTGGTTAAACGTCTCATTGTTTACCTACATGACACCCGTATCCTAATGCTTCAGTGGTGTGTAGCTCATCATGTCTGGGTGGCGGATTCCAGCCTGTGCCTCACTACTCCTTTGAAACGTCGGGCAACCGTTGCCACTCTCAGTATAATGCTGATTCTACCTCTTGCAAATTTTGTACATTGCCTGTACATAATATTTGTTCCATTGGATTTAAATCTAGTCTCATGCCTAGCCACGATACAGTAGTCACAACATTTTGTAAGGCAGGCCAGTATTGCCTTGTCGTCCATATAAACAGGCCTTATAGCAAGTGCGTGGTTGTCAAAATGTGGTATGACAACAGATTCCATGACAATGTGAATGTATTGGTCAACTGTAAGACGTAAGAGTATAGTATTTTAACCATATACAGCTTGCAATCGTGCTAGACATATGCCCACACTATCACCGAGCCTCTACCGTAAGGAGCGGTTAGGCTGATCTTCCTGTGTGTATAAGCCGCCAGTCTGTGCATCCACCCACTAATTCGTCCATCCGTGACCTAGAGCAAAAACTTGCTTTCATCCTACTAATGGATGCTCAGTTACGACCGCAGATTTCAGTCATATCTTGCTAAAAACCATGCCAGACATATTCCCTGGTGGAGATTTTGATGACCAACAAATAATCGCGCGTACAAGATATGTTGCTGTTGGTTACATAGCTAACAATTTGTTTATTTCTGATAATTCGATAAATATATTTCAAAGCATGCAGCCGCTATATACAACACTGGCAACTCCTAATCTAATACACAATTTAATACCAACAGAGGTAGGCAGTTACACTTTTATTTTATATTTCCGAGTACATGTACATTACCATTTTCGGTCTCTTCATCTTCACTCGGGGATGATATCTTACTGATAAATTAATCCCAGAAAATGGTGCCCCATTTTGTTCTTTTTCAGACTATAGTTAATGCAGAAAAAAATAAAAGTAATTTTACACTCACCAGAAACTACTCCATTGGAACTTCAACAATTTCAAAACCGAATAATGAACCGTTACCAATTAGAAAGGTGATATATATATATATATGCCCTTACACCCCAGTTCTGTTTGGAAGATTAGTATACAGAACTGTCCACACGGTTCCGTGTTGCAACCGTTTTCCAGAACTATAATTATTGATGAATATGAATTTATACTTGAATATACACCATTAAAGGCCCGGTCCCAGTGGCCGATGGACACAAAACGTATGCAAAAAGGACACAGCGGACGAGCAAACTTTCGGGGATGGCTCCATCCATTTTCATCCGCTCCTGAAATGGACAAAATTGAGGAAAATTTGCGAAAACAGAACGGAAAAGAACGAACGTGGAAAGTATGTCATTACGGTTTAGCCAACATACTGGATCATGTACTTCCGGTTAATTATGTACTTAAATGTAAAGCAATTGTCTAAAATTTAGTTAATACTAATCACGTTTAACATTTTTGTTTGCGTTGTTATTTTTGTACGCCCCCATTTTTTGCGGTAGTCCATTGTCGTCACCCATTGCCGACGGCATACCGTTTGTCCTTCACCATATTTGCAATAACTCTGCAGCCAGGAGGTTTTTTTTAGATTATTTGTTTTGAGAATATTTAGTTAGCCATTGGCGCCTTCTCAACCTCGTGGGTTTAATCCGGGTACTCCGGTTTCCAACCAAAGAAAAGACCCTTGCGCATGCGCCAGTGGCGGTGCCATCCGTCTGTGATTGGAGGGGCAAAGCTGGGACAAAGTCCAAGGTCAAGGGGGCAAAGACACGAGCTTCAACTAGGGGTAGGGGGCCTCCCCCAGAAAATTTTGAAAAAAAGGTTGCCGGAAAGTGTCAAACGAATGGACTTGCGAATCACGACGAAGCCCACTCAAGAGCGTCAAAGTAGGTAGTCCTCCCCCAGAAAATTTTGAAAAATAGACTGCCGGAAATGCTGTCTTACAGTATTCTGTCAGGCACCGATCGTCGAGGTAAATAGATCTGACCAGATACCGTCCGTCGTCTGATCACTAGTTTATCCGACTAGAGAACAAAATGTCAAACGAACGGACTTGCGCACCTCAACGAATTCACCTTGTGAGCGCCAAAGTAGCGAGTTCATTGGGGACTTCGCCAAGAAAATTTTGATAAATAGACTGTCGGAAATGCTCTACAACATGCAAGTTTATGACTGAGTGGGGATGTGGTATTTATTCACCGAAACGTATCACAAATACTTTTTTTAATTTCCTAATTTTTTTTTGGGGGGGGGGCAAACAGAGGGCAGACCAGATTAGTGTGTAGGCTCACCATGTCTGGGTGGCGGCTTCCAGCGTCTGTCTCACCCCTCCTTTGAAACGTCGGCAACTGTTGCTACTCCCAGTATAATGCTGCTTCCAAATCTTTCAAATTTTGTACATTGCCTGTACATAATATTTGCTCCTTTGGATTTAAATCAAGATTCATGGCTAGCCATGTTACAGACCAGTAGTGCCCGAGAACGATAGGTTTGGCGATGTCGTGCATGTAAACAGGCCTTATGGCGAGTGCGTGGTTGTCAAAATGGGAGATAACCAGCGATTCCATGACAAAGTTTATGTACTGGGCGCCTGTAAGCGTATCTGTTACGGTAAACATATCCAGCTTGCAATGACCGAGCCTCTACCGTTAAGGGAGGTTAGGCTGATCTTCCTGTATTTAGAAGCCGCCAGTCTGTGCATCCACACACTAATTCGTCCATCCGTTACCTAGAGCAAAAACTTGCCTTCAGCCTACTAATGGATGCCTAGTTACGACCGCAGATTTCAGTCCTATCTTCCTAAAAACCATGCCAGACGTATTCCCTGGTGAAGATTTTGAAGACCCTTCTAATGACGCGTACAAGATATGTTGCTGTTGGTTACATAGCTAACAATTTGTTTATTTGTGATATGGTTGTCTTCATTTGATAATTCGATAAATATATTTCAGAGCATGCAGCCAATGTATACAACACTGACATCTCATAATCTAATACACAATTTAACACCACCAACAAAGATAGGCCGGTAGACTTATAGTTTATGTTTCAGAGTACATTACCATTTCCTGTCAAACAGATAAATGAACCGTCCTACACGGAACATCGCAAGGAATATGTATATTTCCAACGACCATTTTGCATAATGCAATGTAATAATATAAACATTCCAAATAAACATTCAATTTCTGTGAAGTTACTCGCCTTCGGCAACATCTACAGGGTTGTAGATATTTGGGGAAATCGTTTTCTTGACAAAGGATTTATTTATCGATTTATACTCATAATTATGTTAGGAATGGATTTGGGTTTGAAACCCAATACCTTCAAGTCTATACCACGTTTTGCACTTTTTGAGTTATATATGCAATATTTTATTCAATCAGTAAGGGCGGTATGAAATTTGTCCTTTAACTGCTATAATAACCTCTCTCGGCCTATTTTATTTACTGGATCATTACAGCAATTGATGAGAAATAATGTTTATTTATTTTAAACTAATTAACAGTTTAACACGTACTCTTCATCTTCATCGGGGATTAATTCTTACTGATCAGTTAATCCAAGAACAGCTATGTAAACAGTTTTGTCATTTCAGTTTTTCTATTAAGACCGGACACTTGCGGAGCATTGACACTTCAAGGTGGGCAAATCAAAAATGTTATACGCTCAAATTTGTTCTTTTTCAGAGCATAGATTTTGCAGAAAAATATAAGAGTAACTTTACAGTCTCCAGAAGCTACTTCACTGGAACAACAACAATTTCAAAACCGAATAATGAACCGTTACCAATTAGAAAGGTGATATACTATCGCCCCCCACCCCACACACACACACAACTCGAATGATAAATATGCATTTATTCGATAAAACAACAATATACTAATCAACATAAAGGACGGTTATTAGTTACGTTTATGTTTTAATGACGAAATTGCCAAGGAACCGATGGCACTGCTTTCCATCAAAAATCAAATACATTTTAAGAGTTCATTAAGCATGTCAAGGTGGCTCTTGTGGTTAAACGTCTCATTGTTTACCTACATGACACCCGTATCCTAATGCTTCAGTGGTGTGTAGCTCATCATGTCTGGGTGGCGGCTTCCAGCCTGTGCCTCACTACTCCTTTGAAACGTCGGGCAACCGTTGCCACTCTCAGTATAATGCTGATTCTACCTCTTGCAAATTTTGTACATTGCCTGTACATAATATTTGCTCCATTGGATTTAAATCTAGTCTCATGCCTAGCCACGATACAGTAGTCACAACATTTTGTTAGGCAGGCCAGTATTGCCTTGTCGTCCATATAAACAGGCCTTATAGCAAGTGCGTGGTTGTCAAAATGTGGTATGACAACAGATTCCATGACAATGTGAATGTAGTGGTCAACTGTAAGACGTAAGAGTATAGTATTTTAACCATATACAGCTTGCAATCGTGCTAGACATATGCCCACACTATCACCGAGCCTCTACCGTAAGGAGCGGTTAGGCTGATCTTCCTGTGTGTATAAGCCGACAGTCTGTGCATCCACCCCCTAATTCGTCCATCCGTGACCTAGAGCAAAAACTTGCTTTCATCCTACTAATGGATGCCTAGTTACGACCGCAGATTTCAGTCCTACCTTGCTAAATACCATGCCAGACGTATTCCCTGGTGGAGATTTTGATGACCCTTCTAATGACGCGTACAAGACATGTTGCTGTTGGTTACATAGCTAAGAATTTGTTTATTTGTGATATGGTTGTCTTCATTTGGTAATTCGATAAATATATTTCAGAGCATGCAGCCAATGTATACAACACTGACATCTCATAATCTAATACACAATTTAACACCACCAACAAAGGTAGGCCGGTAGACTTATAGTTTATGTTTCAGAGTCGTTACCATTTTCTGTCAAACAGATAAATGAACCGTCCTACACGGAACATCGCAAGGAATATGTATATTTCTAACGACCATTTTGCATAATGCAATGTAATAATATAAACATTCCAAATAAACATTCAATTTCTGTGAAGTTACTCGCCTGCAGCAACATCTACAGGGTTGTAGATATTTGGGAAAATCGTTTTCTTGACAAAGGATTTATTTATCGATTTATACTCATAACTATGTTAGGAATGGATTTGGTTTTGAAACCCAATACCTTCAAGTCTATACCACGTTTTGCACTTTTTGAGTTATGTGTGCAATATTCTATTCAATCAGTAAGGACGGTATGAAATTTGTCCTTTAACTGCTATAATAACCTCTCTCGGCCTATTTTATTTACTGGATCATTACAGCAATTGATGAGAAATAATGTTTATTTATTTTAAACTAATTAACAGTTTAACACGTACTCTTCATCTTCATCGGGGATGAATTCTAACTGATCAGTTAATCCAAGAACAGCTATGTAAACAATTTTGTCATTTCAGTTTTTCTATTAAGACCGGAGTTCTGTTTGGAAGATTAGTATACAGAACTGTCCATGTTGCAACCGTTTTCCAGAACTATAATTATTGCTGAATATGAATTTATACTTGAATATACACCATTAACCGGCGTACTGAAAATGGAAGAAATGTATTTTGAACATCTACATCTGCCATTACGGTTTAGCCTATATACTGGATCATGTACTTCCGGTTAATTATGCACTTAAATGTAAAGCAATTGTCTAAAATTTAGTAAATACTAATCACGTTTTACATTTTTGTCTGCGCTGTTATTTTTGTACGCCCCCATTTTATGCGGTAGTCCATTGTCGTCACCCATTGCCGACGGCATACCGTTTGTCCTTCACCATATTTGCAACAACTCTGCAGCCAGGAGGGTTTTTTTTAGATTATTTGTTTTGAGAATATTTAGTTAACCATTAGAAGGAACCCCGTCGAAATTATTTTTTTGTCAAGGCATTCCCATATTGCCGAAACACTTTCATATTTGCTGGGATTGTTGGGCTAATCTGGAAAGTAATTTAGTCAATTGGAGGATTTCATGCTTGACCTTGAACCAGGGTACGAGTATATTGTGACTTCAATAGAAATGTGTAATATAAAAACATCGTCAGTAGAAACAACTGTTGGAGATATTGGCGCCTTCTCAACCTCGTGGGTTTAATCCGGGTACTCCGGTTTTCAACCAAAGAAAAGACCCTTGCGCATGCGCCAGTGGCGGCGCCAGCCGTCGGTGATTGGAGGGGCAAAGCTGGGGCAAAGTCCAAGGTTAAGGGGGCAAAGGCATGAGCTTCAACTAGGGGTAGGGGGCCTCCCCCAGAAGATTTTGAAAAACAGGTTGCCGGAAATGCAGCCTGGCAGTATTTCAGGCACTGATCGATGAGGTAAAGTGTCAAACGAACGGACTTACGAATCACGACGAAGCCCACGCAGAAAATTTTGAGAAATAGACTGCCGGAAATGCTGTCTTACAGTATTCTTCCAGGCACCGAACGTCGAGGTAAATAGATCTGACCAGATACTGTCCGTCGCCTGATCACTAGTTTATCCGACTAGAGAACAAAATGTCAAACGAACAGACTTGCGAACCTCAACGAATTCCCCTTGTGAGCGCCAAAGTAGCGAGGCCGTTGGGGACCTCGCCATTAAAATTTAAAAAAATAGACTGTCGGAAATGCTCTACAACTTGCAAGTTTGTGACTGAGTGGGGATGTGGGATTAGTGGTGTGTCTGTCATCACTCCCTACTTCAATAGTAAGGATAACTCGTGCTTTCCTTTTTTGCGACACTTCCTGGTTCTTGAAATCTTTGTTACGGATAAACCTATATTTGAAATGTGTTTAACCAGTTCTATCGCATAAGTAATATTGACTGACACCAACATTGTCATTTAAGACCGATAACGCGGTTAACACTGAAACTTCATAGTGGTCCATCCATTTTGTTCTATTTCAGAGGAAAGTTATTGCAGAAAATAATGAAAGTAATTTTACAGTCGCCAGAAACTACTCCCTTGTGACGACGACAGTTTCGAAACAGAACATAGAACCGTTACCAATTAGAAAGGTGATATATCTGCCAATACATCCTAGAGAACATATTATTATACACCCCCCACCCCCTCAATATTTCGAATTATTGATATGAATTTAATCGCCAAAACAACAATATGCTAATCAACATACACATACGTTGATGTTGTAATGAAATTGCCAAGGAACCGATGTTTTTGATATAAAAAAAAAAATTCTAAGAGTGCGTTAAGCACGTCAAGGTGGCTCTTGTGATTTCACATTGTTTGCCTTTATGACTTCCATGTCCTAATGATTCAGTAGTGTGTAGACTTACCATGTCTGGGTGGCGGCTTCAAGCCTGTGCCTCACCCCTACTTTGAAACGTCGGCAACTGTTGCTACTCCCAGTATAATGCTGCTTCCAAATCTTTCAAATTTTGTACATTGCTTGTACATAATATTTGCTCCATTTAAATCCAGATTCATGGCTAGCCATGGTACAGTCGTCACAACATTTTGTTACGTACAGACCAGTAGTGCCCGAGAACGATAGGTTTGGCGATGTCGTGCATGTAAACAGGCCTTATGGCGAGTGCGTGGTTGTCAAAATGGGGGATAACCAGCGATTCCATGACAAAGTGAATGTACTGGGCGCCTGTAAGCGTATCTGGTACGGTAAACATATCCAGCTTGCAATCGTGCGAGACACTTACAACACCATGACCGAGCCTCTACCGTTAGGGGAGGTTAGGCTGATCTTCCCGTATTTAGAAGCCGCCAGTCTGTGCATCCGTTACCTAGAGCAAAAACTTGCCTTCATCCTACTAATGGATGCTTAGTTACGACCGCAGATTTCAGTCCTATCTTGCTAAAAACCATGCCAGACGTATTCCCTGGTGGAGATTTTGAAGACCCTTCTAATGACGCGTACAAGATATGTTGCTGTTGGTTACATAGCTAACAATTTGATTATTTGTGATATGGTTGTCTTCATTTGGTAATTCGATAAATATATTTCAGAGCATGCAGCCAATGTTCACAACACTGACATCTCCTAATCTAATAGACTTATAGAGTACATTACCATTTTCTGTCAAACAGATAAATTAACCGTCCTACACGGAACATCGCAAGGATTATGTATATTTCCAACGGCCATTTTGCATAATGCAATGTAATAATATAAACATTCCAAATAAACATTCAATTTCTGTGAAGTTACTCGCCTGCGGCAACATCTACAGGATTGTAGATATTTGGGGTTTATTTACCGATTTACACTCATAACTATGTGGACGTATATTGTCGTCGCCCCTGTCCGTCCGGTCGTCCGTCCGTCCGTCCACAATTGTTTGTGGACACTCTACAGGTCACAATTTTCATCCGATTTTGTTGAAACCTGAAATATAAGTTTATAACCCAAAGATCTCGGATCCTTTCGATATTCGCGCATATCGGATCGTAACTTCCTGAATTATGGCCCCTGATTGTACGAAAAATCGCGTTTTAGCTTGTGGATCCTATAGAGGTTATAATTTTGTATCCGATTTAAAAAAAACGTTTGAATCTGTCACCGTTACACCCTAAGGATGGATGAATTCGAATTTCGTAAAAATCGGACCAAAACTGACAGACAAAATGGCCGCCCCTCGCACTCAAATAGCGTAAAAATATGATAAATCAAGGTTGTGGACTCCCTGGAGGTCAAAATTTTCTTCTGATTTTGATGAAACTTGAAATAAAAGTTTATAACCCAAAGATATTGTTCCTTTCGATATTCGCGCATATCGGATTGTAACTTCCTGAATTATGGCCCCTGATTGTACGAAAAATCGCGTTTTTAGCTTTTGATCCCTCTACAGGTCGCAATTTTTATCCGATTTTGTTGAAACCTGAAATATCAGTTTATAACCCAAAGATCTCGGATCCTTTCGATATTCGCGCATATCGGATTGTAACTTCCTGAATTATGGCCCCTGATTGTACGAAAAATCGCGTTTTTAGCTTCAGGTCCCTCTAGAGGTCACAATTATTATCCGATTTATAAAAACGTTCAAATATATCACCATTGCGCCGTAATTTTGGCTGAGTTCCAATTTCGTGAAAATCGGACTAAAACTGCCGGACAAAATGGCCGTCCTTCTTACACAAGTAGTGTATAACATCTGGTATATCAAAGTTGTGGACTCTCTAGAGGTCACAATTTTGATCCGATTTTGATGAAACTTGAAATGCATGTTTATAACCCCAAAATGTTGGTTCATATTCGCGCGTATCGGATCATAACTTCCTGAATTATGGCCCCTGTCCCTGATTGTACGAAAAATCAGTTTTTAGCTTTTGACCCTCTAGAGGTCACAATTATTATCCGATTTAAAAAAAATGTTCCAATATATCGGATTTTAAAAAAACGTTTAAATATATCACCATTCCACCATAATGAATGTTGAATTCGAATTTCTGGAAAATCGAAATGAAACTGCCCTACAAAATGTCCGCTCTTTGTACGCAAATTGTGTAAAAGTATGCAATACGAAGGTTGTGGACCCTCTAGAGGTCACAATTATATCCCAAAGATCTCAGTCCCTTTTGATACTTGCGCATTTCAAACCATAACTTTCTGGAGTATTGCCCCGTTTGTTTTTAGCTTGTTCTATGTCCATCTTTTGCAAAATGTGGGCGTATCCTGCCTGGCAGCCGTTGGTTCTATTAAGACCGGAGACTTGATATCAAGAGCATCCGTTAATAGCCTTTAAAACCAGAATTATATAACTTAGGAAAAACTGTATTTCAACTTAATATTTTAGGCTTAGAATCTGTCTACCACTCAAATAAACCTTGTAAAAGTATGTATTGCCACGGTTGTGAACCCTCTAGAGTAAGAATATTTATCCGATTTTGATGAAACTTAACATATGTTTATATCCCATAGACCTCAGTCCCTTTCGATATTCGCGCATATTGGACCGCCATTTCCTGGATTATGGCCCTTGATTGTATGAAAAATCCCCTTTTGTTTAGCCTGTTCTCTGTCCATCTCTTGCAAAATGTGTGCGTATCATATTGTAGCACAATAGGGTGATGGTAATTCAGCCAACATATCTTTATCTTTCAGGAGTATTGTCCAAACTCCAAATGGTTTCTCAGCACACAACCAGAAAATGAAATCACCGTAGTAACAGCCTATTTCAATATTGGTAGTTTCATCAAAGGATCGGCTATTAAATTTACTCCAGACCGTTACCTAAAGTGGATGACATCTTTCCGGTACCTAAACAACCCTCTAGTTGTTTATGTCGACGAACAGAAAACGGCAGATATCTTCAAGAATCTAAGAAAACATTTAATGAATATAACAAAAATTGTTGTACTGGACAGAAAATATATGTGGTCATTTGGGCTTAAAAACAGAATCGAACAAATATACTCACCTGAATCCTATCCCAAGTTCCACCCTAACACTGTGGTTCCAGAGTATTCATGTGCCCAACATGCTAAATATGAATGTCTACATAATGCCATTTCAAAAGACTATTTCTCCACCCCTTATTTTTCTTGGTTGGATATTGGATATTTTCGTGACATAGTTGGGTGCAAAAAGGATTTCAAATTAGTGTTGCCAGATAATTTTAACAAAACAAAAATTTCGTATACGCAAGTCCGTGAATTTAATCAGAATATTACACTGTCATCTATTTTTCTGAAGAATAGCTTGTGGGTTGGAGGAGGAATGACATTAGCTAGTAAAGAGGTAACCAAGAAATTTATTCGTATTTTTAAGAACTCTGTAGAAATACTGTTGGAACAATCTTTAATGAATACAGATCAACAAGTGATTTATGCTATTTATTCCAAAGTAGGTCGAGCACTTTTTAAGCCTACGGTAGAAATACAGCTTCATAGATCAGGTGATTGGTTTTATTTAGGATTCCTCTGTCATCGCTCGTACAATAAATCCGTCATTCTATCGAAATCCTCTGCTATCCCCACTTATACTACTTCAACATTCAAACCATCATAAACATTGCCATCCTTATCAATTCAAACCTATTCCACCATTGCCTTCAAGAACATCATCAGGATAAACGAGGATTCGTGAAAAAGATAGCTAAAACAAGATAGTAGTTATTCGGTTAATCATTAGCCGATGTCAGAATTACACTGGCGACATGTGACCTATTCGAGGTCACTGTCCGTAATATTGCTCGAACTTATGAAACGGAAACTGATTTAATTTAACAAATTGTCCATTTTAATCGACTTTGCTAATGGGTTTTTTTTTCTCGGAAAAATCACTAGATAATGTCCCTAGTGTAGACAAGACGTAGATGCAATCCCTGCCCTCTTCTGGAATATCACCGGGGCCACGCTGGCTAAGTAGGTAAGACGCTGGCTCGCTAGCCTGGAGGTCGCGTGTTCGATCCCTGTATTGGCCGAGAAAGTTCATCGGAAATTTCTGACGTGGTTTCACCTTGTCGGTGGTGCATCCCTCATACAAAACTGTATGGCGTATGCCCGTCTTCATTAGCCCAGTCGGAGTAGAACAGTAGGACGTTAAACACCATTTCATTTCATTTCATTTTTTCAAAATATGTAAATATAAATGTGCCAGCAAATTATTTAAATATTTGAAAAGAGAAGTGAACGTACTTTTTAGTGATACGTAAAATATCTGGAATTTGTATTAAGACAGGTGTGTTCACTTTAAATACCCCAACCCCCGTCATTTAATAGTTTTGTACCACACGAATTTGATCGTTTTTCTTTCCCTTTGTCAGTGATGCTCGGGGTTATCACTACTATATGTCCATTCTAAATTCATACCATTTATTGTAAAGGTTTTATTGCTTTTATGTTTTATAAAGGTTCATTTATTGCTTGCGGGAGACCGGGCTATTAAAATGTTGTGCCGATTTATAATATTATTCGCTCTTGTTGTATTTCTTTTTGTTGCCAACTAGTAATATATCAGTTGAATGTGATTCTATGTGCATTTATATTTCCATAAATTTGATTCTTGAATCATGTTGGATAGGGGAGACTACACTACACACACGCTGAAATGTTGGCGTATAGAAATTGAATGTACGTCTAAATCAGTTTATATACATTTATATTTCAGTGAAGGGACCACGTGGCTAAGTGGGTAAGACGCTGGCTCGCTAGCCTGGAGGTCGGGTGTTCGATCCCTGCATTGGCCGAGAAAGTTCATCCAGATTTTCCGGCGTGGTTTCCCCTTGTCAGTGATGCAGGACTGAGGGCCTGACAAGGACAGCTGTTTAGTCCTTCGGATGAGACGAAAAACCGAGGTCCCGTGTATATATTGGAATGGACGTAAAAGATCCCCTGGCAGATGGAATTCGATATAAGAGTAGGCGATAGTGCCGCTGCCCGGGCACAATTCCCCTCATAGCAAACTGTATGGCGTATGCCCGTCTTCATTAGCCCAGTTTAGGAGCAGAACAGTAGAACGTTAAACCCCATTCCATTTTAAAGGAGCTAGGTCGCTAATATTTGGGACCTAGAAATTGACACATAGTGGGTCGGAACGCATATAATAATGTAATATGAATGTATATAAATTGATTTACATAACATCGTTTCTGTTTTTACTGTAATTTCTAATCAGTTAGATTCGGCCAAATACGGCAGTATTCTCAATCAAATTTCAATCTCTAGCGTCTGGTTTTTCCAGTCTACGCCGATAGTATTTATTGGGCATGCTCTACAGATAAGAATATACCGTCACCGTTTGACATGACTTGTGGAATATGCCTAGCCTCGTTTTTCGAGTCCCTTATTACAAATAGCGCTGAAACGCATTATGGTACACGATTCGTGTACCAATTGTAAAATGTTTATTTTGTCTTAAATATTGGATATCAGAAGGTTATCTTTTCCCGGTAAGATCACGACATCAATTTTGATTTAAATTGACAAATAATTCGTGTTTTCAATGTCGAAGATTTTGGATGATATTGAGTTAGGGACTTAGCTACTATAAGTTTCGAAGGAACAGGGCTATACACAATTAAATGATTTTTGTAACCCCTGGGATGCAGGTACAATGAGCCAAAGTCTCAGAGATCTTTAGCTGTCGGCCACCCCGAAATTAATCATAACATGCACATCAAAAGGTAAAAGTATGTGGTAATAATTGAAATTTTAAATGCAATGTAGAGCTTGAAATAGACGACAATTAATGCAATATGAATGTATATAAAGATATATTCTTTCACACGAACGATGTTGATTTCTTTGATGAGATAGACCGGTTACAATCTTTTTACTCCAGATTTGGAATATTCTCAAGAACAGCTACTAACGGTGACTTTATAATAATCATCTGCACGACTGTTTGTACACAGAGTTAATCTTACTTGAACGAATTTCTCACGATGAAGTGTTAAATCATTTTGGAAAAAAAAGCTCTGACAAGTATGTATAAACGGAACTCTGTATATTGAATGGACGGTTAGAAAAGAAATGAAATGAAATGGGGTTTAACGTCCTACTGTTCTGCTCCTAAACTGGGCTAATGAAGACGGGCATACGCCATACAGTGTGCTATGAGGGGAATTTTGCCCGGGCAGCGGCACTACGGCCTACTCTTATATCGAATTCCAACTGCCAAGGGATCTTTTACGTGCACGCCAATGTGTACACGAGACCTCGGTTTTTCGTCCCATCCAAACGACTAGACAGCTGTCCTTGTCAAGCCCTCCGTCCTGCATCACTGACAAGGGGAAACCACGCTGGAAAATCTGGATGAACTTTCTCGGCCAATGCAAGGATCGAACACCCGACCTCATGGCTAGCGAGCCAGCGTCTTACCCACTTAGCCACGTGATCCCCGAATGGACGGTTAGAGTCTGATAAATATACTTCTTGTACTAGAAACGGAAGTAGTTTAATTGATTATTTTCTTATAAATGCTGATTCATTGAAGTATGTTAATAATTTCATTGTACTAGATTTTTTAAAATTTTCTGATCACGCTTCACTACATCTCTGTTTAAATGTAAAAAAAGGCCCCTCACCTCATATTGTATGGGTTCATTCCCATATCGCCGACTCATCGAGTTTTAGGGGAAAAATTTTGGTCGACGTGATGGGAATGAGTGGCTAAGATAGACCCAAGCTGAAGGATAAAACCTCATTAAGCAGATAATTTTGGGAGCATTAATTTTTTTTTAAAATTTATAACAATCTTTAACACCTAACATAACACAATTTTAAATTTTTGCACGCATAAAGTGTCCAACATAGTCCAAAAATTCTAATAAATTCAGTCTTCCTTGTTCATAGCTATGCTTGGAATCTTCAATCTTCCTGTTGATATCGGTGTATTTTTTTTCTTTTTGGGTGGTTGTCGCTGGCCACTTGCATACTGCAGTAACTGAATTTCAATCGTCTTTTGCTCTTCTTGCAAAAATGCCCTCACTTCAAAAATATTAGGATGAGCTTTTCCAATTAATTTTATTAATTAGTGAGTGAGTCGACTTCTGATAAAAATCAATTTCAGTGAACTATATTAATAATGACTGGTCCATGCCACATTAACGCTTTTAATCCGTTTTAATCCCATCAAAGGGTGCCGCGGTCGACTTTCCAAAACTCGGTGAGTCGGCGATATGGGAAGACCCCATTGTATGACAGAGAACATTGTGAGTTACACCCCTTATCTTGAATGGGGTCAGGACAAGCTCGATGTCTTACGGTCAACCATAACAGACAATTTGAATGTATTTGATAATGTATTAAACGAAGAGTATTTTATTCCAAACCAGGGTACTATCAATAACAAAAACAATAGACTGTCTTCAAAGTTGTTTGAGTCTAGTTATAACGTTGTTGGTTCCACAAAAACAAATCAGAGGAATCCCTATCACAAATATCATAGTTATAACAAGCCAAAGGTGGAGCTGATGTCCCCCGCCGAAATTCCGAAATAAATAGATGACACATACTAATTAATTTCACGTTAATTTTTTTCAAAAGTATCGAGCAGTCAATCTGATTATTATCAGCTATACACTAAGTTTCATCACTCTCTATCAGATAGAATCAAAGTCAAAGAAATTGCTTAGCCCTGCCTACCTTTAGCTGGAAATGTTAATCATTGAACTCGGTGAAGACATTCATCTAATGGACATCAACATCAAGTTTAAACATTCTGAATCAATTAAAAGCAGAGTTGTTATGTTCCAAAGTCTTGACTGTTGCTCCTTAAAGCCTAAGCAAACTATCCTCATAAACATAAGACTTAGTCATGGTAATGATAATAATGAATCTATACTCGGAGTTTCATAGCTCTCACTTAATTATAACAAAGTTATCGTGTCCAAAAGCATCAACCAAATCAAATTGCTTATCTCTGCTTACCTTTAGCAGACAATTCTCATCTTCGAAGTCCAACAAGGCATCGAACTAATAAACACCTACACAAAGTTTGAACATTCTAGCTCAAATAGAAGTGTGGCGGACAAACAGACAGACGGACTGACGAACCAATTTTGATACTCCCATGCTTTCTTCGAAAGGCGGGGGACAAAATATATGGTTTAATAATAATTGTGTTTGTTCTAGAAATGATTTTATAAAGAATAGAAATATTTTTAATAAGAACTACAAATATAATGTTCCCCCAGGCTGATGTGAAGTTTATAGAGCTCCTACCAAGAGGAAACCCACAGGAAAATAAAGGCATTACGGAACTCAACAAAGCACTTCATCAAGTATGCCTAAACACCATGTTCAGTGTATATAATTAATTAAAACAAATGATCTATTCTTGAATAATGTCAATCATGAATTTGAACAATCACTCTATAATGGTCTAACACACCTTAATACCAAGGGAGCACCAAAGTTAGCCACTATATTGATAGCAGTACCGAAGACGAACAACATGCCATAATGAATATGTCAACCCATATGCTAATTCTTGGAGGATACAAAATGGTTAAGCATGGGCATCTAATTCTCCGGTTTCCTCCCACTGCTAAAGACCCCTACGCGCAAGCGAATTATTGAAATAAAATTAAACCATATGTTAGTCCCGAAATGACCTAGTTTGTGTCGAGTGGACGTTAAACCCCATTTCTCTCTCTCTCTCTCGCATCTAATTCTAATCTCCCTCAACCACCAGGGTTCAACCCAAGGTCACCCTAAGTGGCTGTGTCAACTAATAGATATTGATGAGTAGCCTACATTCCACATTGATTTTTACCTCAAACAATATCATCTTCTGTGTCTAAATCTGAGTCAAAAATATAGTTGGTTAACAGTGTGTTGCTATTTATTATTGCTAACATTTTAATGGGGTGTTCTCACTTTCGCAGCAGCTATTGTTTTCCAGGTAAAATATTTAGACCAGTACTAATTAGGGTAACAATGGTGTTAAAAACTATAGTCTTTTTCATATTAATATTAAATTGAACTGTTCATGCAATAATTAAAACAGAGTATAACTTACTAATCTATAACTAATCCCTAATCCGCTTTATTAGTAGGAAAATCTGCTGGGAAAGTGAGAACGAACCTTTTTAATTTACCTAGAATTTTCTACACCAAGTCTATCGCATCCAGATATTTAAAGCGCGTTACGAATATATTCATTTAAAAGAAACTATGTCATTTCGGGATTAACATATCGTAAAAATCATATTCATTTGTCGAGATCCATGAACTAGGCCCCGCGAGGGGTTCCCACTCTATTTGGGGAGGGAGTTATCTCCTTGCTTTTATAAAACTGACCGTAAAAAATGTTTTCTGTAATTTGTCCTGATGTTTCTAGCTTCCGCACAAATTTGGTGTGTGACAATCCTATCTGAAATTAAGTTTTGAACCCAATATTGAATTTAGTAACCTTAAAACCCTTATTTTAAAAGCAATATCCAAAAGGACACACATCGCCATTTTGGTTTCTAATTTGATCGTCGTTTTAAATTTACACCATCTGGACCATTCATAATTATTTTTTCAGAAAGAAATTGAACCTAGCAACCACCAAACCCATAAGACATATTACAAGCCATATCCAACGGAAAAACATGACGATTAATTAAAATTCCACCTATTTGGATTTCGTTTTGCCGGTCATCTTGAATTTCTGCAATCGAGAATATTTGAAATTTATTTTTGAGATCAGAGTTAAACCCAATACATATATAAGATATATTACAAAAATTGGGATTAGATTTTGCCAGCCATTTTGAATTTCTGCCATCAAGGATTCATTTTTGAGATCAGTATTGAACCCGGCAACATCGAAAACCGTGAAAATGACATTTTACAAGTAATATCCAACAAGTAATAAATTACGCAACAGTAGGACGTTAAACCCCATTTCATTTCATATTTTACGAGACTATCGCTGCCCCTTTATTACCAAATTTATGGTGTATTTTTAAATGGCATTACATTACCAAATTTGGCAGCCATTTTAAAAGATATAAAAAATACATTTTTTTAATTGATGTTTGTCAAATTTGATTTTTCGGCACATTTCGCTTGCATAACCTCTATATATGACATTATATTACCACATTTGGTAGCCATTTTGAAGGAAATGCTCGGCACCATATTAAAATTATATTTTTTAAATTGATGTTTGTCGAATTCGACTTTTCGGCACATTTCGCTTGCTTAACCACTCTGTGTTTTAGGAATTTAAAAAGAAATTTGTTATCAATCTAAATGTTTAAAAGATTTTCATAACAAGACGAGTTTAACTATTATGTATTGAACCATCGGGAGGCCTCGGGATAACTGCGAAAACTCTCAAAGCTTGTATTGAAAATTTGTCGATGTTTTCCCGACGGGGAAACTCGGGGATGCTTCCCTGAAGTTTCCGCGAAATACTTGTTCACCGAGGCATTCCCAATTTAACTAGCAAGACATCGCCGATGCTTCGGCAATGCCCCGGGGAAACAAATATTTCGCGGAAGCTCCAGGGAATCATCTCCAGAGTTTCCTTGTGGATCTGGGGGATCACGTGGCTAAGTGGGTAAGACGCTGGCTCGCTAGCCTGGAGGTCGGGTTTTCGATCCCTGCATTGACCGAGAAAGTTCATCCAGATTTCCCGGCGCGGTTTCCCCTGTAAGTGATGCAGGATGGATGGCCTAACAGGGACAACTGTCTAGTCGTTCGGGTGGGACGGAAAACCGAGGTCCCGTGTACACATTGGCGTGCACGTAAAAGATCCCATGGCAGTTGGAATTCGATATAAGAGTA